CGGGGCCGCTGAGCACCCTCCCCCCAGCTGCCAGGGAGCATCTCGGAGCAGCAGCCCGGTGGGAGCCCTTTGCAGCTGCTCCCTCGGGACATCCCTCTCGCTGATCTGGGCAGACAGGCTGCCGCAATCGCCCCCGCCACCAACTCGCACCCTGGCCCAGCGTATTCAAAGAAGTTTGCACCGAAGGGGGAGAGAGGGAGACGCGCTGAAACGATTCTTGCGTGGCCGCTGCACCAGCCCAACAGCAGCGAGCGCGACTGAGGCAAAATAGAGTGGGGAGGGAGATGGGGGTGTTTCCTTATTTAGCCTTTCACTTGTCAGCTCCATGTGCATCGAAGAGCATGTTATGTAGAGCTCAGCTGCAAAGCCCCCTCCACCCTCTTCTAAGGGGTTGTGTTTGATCTTCGTGGTTGGTATGCTCTGTTTTAGCTCGAGTGATGACATGCAAACAGGCTGATTGCACGAAAGTGGTACCTTCTGTTGAGGCATCTAATTTGAGATGAAACATGCAGACAAAGTCTACAGGAAACGGGAGGCATAGCTGCTCTCTAGGTGTGTTTAGAGTGCAACCCCATGTGAAGATGCAAAGCGGGAAAGAGAGGAGCTGCGTGGTTAATTTTTCTTCACGACTGATGAATCATAAGTTATGATGATATGAGCATATTAAACATACACGGGACACGACCTCCCCTAATGACAATGCATGAGTAAACGTGAACGAATAAATGTGGTTAGATACTGATAAGACACAAAAAAACATTGTCTATGCAAGAATAAGGAAGGAAGAAAAGGATCCCTTAAATGCTAAATAATATTTGCACTGACCTTTTTAACCTCTTAATCACTACTTTCAAAGTAAGTGTTTAATGTGCTATAACCTAAACAAACAATTACTGGGTTTTGTCTGCTCTATTTCCCACCCTGGGTATCATTAATATTCTCTTCTCCACTTACCCATTGGCACAATCTAATTGATATTCAGAGAGATGAAAAGTCTGTCATTTAAACCCAGCTCAGTATACAGACAGCTGAAGAAACAAATCTCACCTTTCTATCCAGCTTGCATACTTCTCTGTCCTTTTATATTATGGTGTCTTCCTTCTAGCAAAGAGTCTTTGTTTGATATTGACTGAACTACTGTTAATGGTTCTGTTTATTATTTTAGATTTTCTCACCTGAGTAGATCAGGCTTTGATAATTGAAGAACTAGATTTATTTTCAACATATCTGAAGAATGAAAATAAGGCTTACATAAAAATATGAGGAAGAGCTAAACAGCATCATGCCCAACATTTGTGCCCTTACTTGGCATCTCACTTTAGCTGGTTTTTCATCATGCCCTTCAAACTGCTAAAGCAAGACTCAAATGCTGTGACTGTATTCTGACATCACTAGTCTACATGTTTATTATCTTTTATGGAACATCTTTTTACCCAGGTTTCACATTTACTTGGGAAGCTAGGAGTAAAAGATCAAATTTTATGTAAAAATTGTAAAGAATAATTTTTAAATAACCATAGTTGAAAAAACAGCTTTTTATTTGCCAAAACAAGATTTTTTTCTACAAATTCTATTCCTAATACTTCAGACCTGTTTTTAATTTGTAAGCCTTTTACCAATCTAGAAAAAGATCTTTGACTAGTTATTTTCTAGACAATTTATGTGGGCCTTATATAGAGATCAAATAAAAGCAAGAATTACTAGCAACCAGTACCAATTTAAGACCAAAACTGTATTACAAATATAAGAGAAAAAAACTTTATTATGATCACTGTTACTCACCTGTATACACATTTTTAAACATTGGTACTTCTTCAGTTATACAGAAGGCCTACTGCTAAAATCCAGGAAACTAAGAGGGAACTTCTAGTACAAACTTGTTAACTTAATTAGTTGGTAGACAAAACTAACCACAAACATCTATTCCAGGATATACAAATATATAGTGGTGCCACAATGGTCAACTGAGTGTTTAGCATATGGAACAACTGCAAGATCTAACCATTAATTTACTGGTGACTCATCCTATGTCTTCTCTCATGTCCTGGCACACTTAACATCATTTATACATTACTCTGTCCATAATTTCTCTCCCCTATTTGTTTCTTTTTCATCTTTATTTAAGATTTTTTCTTTATTTTTTTTCGTGTTACATAAGTTGTTTCCATTTTCTCTGTAGTCCTCTGCTCCCAAGTGGTGGCCTCTATACTTTCTCCTGTTAGCTTTCTTCTCATGGTTCCTGTTCTTTTGCTGACTTCCTGTTGCTCTGATTGATAGATTTCTCACCATCAGTGATTCATTGGGCTACAGCTCAGCTGAATCAAAATGGCACAGGAAAAAAAAAAATATATATATATATATATACACACACACACACACACACACTTTGGCTGCCAGGATGCTGTCTTCATCTTCCATAATTCTATGTTAGAACCAATGATCCCTCTAATTTTTTTCCATCCATGTGCAAAATAAATTTTGTTATGAGCACTGTGACATTTGCAATGTGCACCATCAATAGAAACACATGCTGCTGCTAATCAGATGAGCAACACCTGAATCTCTTTTGGGTGGCCACACAAGTGTTCAGCTTACAAGGAACACTGGTTATAGCATACACTGGGAACAGGAGACAAGGCTTCAAGGAGAGCTTTACATATAGCTGTAAGAGCATGTTAACAGTTCAGGACAAGGCACATGCATTCTATACACTGCTGTTCCTCTTCTTTGCTCTATTCCTTCACAGAATAGTTTACTGGGAAAAACTACCTTCCTCTGTTGATCAGCTTTTGTGCAAAAAAGCAACAATATATTCACACATTTCAGTCAGACTGATGTATTAATATTTATCTTTACTCTGCACAGACTTACATGTAATTTAGTTAGCTGATTCTCACTGCATTCTGAACTCAACTAGTCATTTTAGAACTCTGAGGAATGACAATCAAACCCAAGAATAAAAAAAATATAGAGAACTGGAAATTTTGTAGTCAGTATTTCATTAAGTGGAAAAGCAGGTCTGGGTTATTTGTTTAATCATTTATTATTTTTAAAAGCCAAATTATTATATCCTTTATTCATATTGAGTAGTACCCTGCTTAACAAATAATTCTGTTGACCTCAATGGAGCAAACAACTCGTGAACCACTGTATCAGAATCTGACCTTAAATTATTATGTAGAAAAAATAACTTTTGTTGAAAGTAATATCAAGATTTCTTTAGGTGAACGTCCCAATGACTCGTGTATGAGGAGGGAAATGAATTCTAACTATTTATCTTGGGAAGAAAATTGTGGAGGTGTTCAAAAACAAGAGTTTTGACAGTTGATCTTGATGTGGAAGGAATGGGTCTCTGAAAACTGTATTGGAACAAAGACTTTTCACAGTTATATGCACTTTCCCTCCTTCATTTAACCAAACACCTTCATTTAACCAAAACATTTAAAAGTAGAATCCCTCCAGGTGGGGTTGCATCAAGAAGTGGGAAAATTCTACAATTAGCAAAATGATTCTGTAGGGTGTAATACAATGTTATCATTCACTATTATCTTTTCTAAGACTTTTCCATAAGGGATGCTGCCTAGCCAGTATCACGCCTTGGTGTGAATGCTCCCTCTCCCCCAAATCATTAACCTCTAACCAAATCACTGTCCTCTAGTTTGTAGGGTTTATATACTTCTTCCATTTAAGTGCACTGCAGAGTAATGGAAATTCAATTCAACAGCTGGATGTTAATATCAACAGTTCTGTGACTCTTTCATGCACATATCATTGTACTCATATGGCCTCTAGTGCTGAAGTATCTGAGTACCTCACCACTATCCTGTTGGTATGAAAGTACTATTATCCTCATTTTACTGTTTGAGAATGAGGCAGAGAGAAACTAATGACTTGATCCTATCAAGGTGGAAAAAACTACCATTGATTTTAATGGCGCAGGATCAGGCCTTATGTGACTTGCTTTAAGTCAAGCAGGAAGGTGTGACAGAAGAGAGAGTTGAAGACATCTCTTGAATCCCAAACTAGGCCCTAATCACCAGACTACGTTTCCCGAGCTCATCCTGACCTAAACTAGTGTTTTAGATGCAGCATTAGGATTCTCGGTCTTTTTTGCCAAACAAACTGGCCTATACAATGTGAGCAAAAGAAAAATCACTCCACCACTCCACTTTCAGTAGATCCCTTATCCTACTTCAGCCTGTGTTGGCTATCCAGTTGCTCCCAGGGTGGGCGGAACTTGAACCCACCACCCTGCACCCTCCACCAGGTTACGTCTAGACTGCCGCTTTTTTTTTTATTGTTTTTTAAGAAAAGGCTTTTCTGAAATTTGGCCCATCTACCCAGGGCCAAATTTCAGAAAAACCTCCTCTTTCGAAAAAGCCC